ATCACTGTGACCCAGAACATCTCTTATCTAACAGTCCTTTTTCTATTCTGAGCAGAACCAAAAAGTCAAATTGATTTTATCCAAATAGGAAATGCACAGACCAAAAGCCAGGTCCTAGACTGGAAGAACTGGGAAGGCAAACACGAAAATCCCGGGTTTGTGCAGCTTAGTAGGAGAGCACTTGTCTGTAGTGCATGGGTCATGGGTTCCATCACAAGCACTGAAACACACACACACACACACACACACACACACACCCTTTTAATCCTCCCTACCCCTACTTTGGAAGTAACAGGAGCAGCTATGAAACAAATTGCATCTATGAAGCAGAGAACAGCTAGTCAAGGACAGTGAGCTGGAAGTCCTGGTCCAAAGGCACAGATTCCATGAAGAAGAGTTGTGGAAGCCAGGCAGCGGTGGCAGACACCTTTGACCCCAGCACGCAGGAGGCAGAGGCAGACATATCTGTGAGTTCAAGGCCACCCTGGCCTACAGAGCAATTTTTAGAACACCAGGGCTATACGGAGACACTGTCTTGAAAAATCAGAAGAGACAGAGAGATATGGAAGTGTATCAAGTAGCCAGAGGGCCTGGTGAAGCCATGTATAGGCTTCTTACTTGGGGACTGTGTGCCTAGTGATCTGCAAAACTAAGTTTACATAACAGGCCTTTGTGTTGCCCACATAAAGGAAGGAAGAAGCAGTGGGAATGGAGTCGGGGTTTGGAGCTGGGCTTTCCTAGGAGGCATAGCAGGGAGCAGGGAGAGCTGGAGGAGAGGCAAGCTTCCATCCCTGGTCATCTAGAAGAACATGGCAACAAAAGCAACGATTAGACAAACCCTTTTGCTTGTTTGCATTATACATTTTGGCTTTATTTATAATATGTCCTGGAGGATAAGAAAGAAATGGGTAGTACTAATTGTTTTCTGCTTATTGGGTTCAGGGTAGCTTGAGGGCCAAAGGTGTAAGGAACTTCCCTAGGTATCCTTTAAGTCTTTGAAATAAATTTTGCAGTATGAACCATATGAATAGATCACCTCTCAAAAAAAAAAAAAAAAAAGGAAAGAAAAGCTAGGAAGGGCCAGCAAGATAGCGCAATGAATAAAGATGCTTGCTGCCAAGCCTGGCAACCTGCGTTCAATTCACAGGACCCACACAATGAAGGAGAGACCTCCACAAGCTTACTGTTGCACAAGTGCACATACATACATACACTAATAATAATAATAAATAAAATTTTAAAACATAATTTTAAAAAAAGCCAGGGAAATTTTAAATGTTTTCAAGCATGTTCAGTTTTTCAATAACCTTCACAAGTAGATGAGTGGTCAGTCATTAGTCCCTTCAGACACCTGGTGGGGTTTTTTGTTTGTTTGATTTTTGGTTTTTGGAGACAGGGTTTCTCCATATTGCTTTGGAACCTGTCCTGTTGCTCACTTTGCAGACCAGGATGGCCTTGAACTCACAGAGATCCACCTGCCTCTGCCTCCCAAGTGCTGGGATTAAAGGTAGAGTGTGCCACCAACGCTCAACTAGGCCTGGTGTTCTTATTCAGACTCTTTGATCAGAAACACAAAAGGCATTCAGATGCATGTGCTACACCCAGTCCTCAGACCTACAGTCAAACACATCCAGGACACCTCAAATGACTGTTTTAAAAGGCTTGTAAACCAGGCATTGGTGGCGCACGCCTTTAATCCCAGCACTCGGGAGGCAGAGGCAGGCGGATCTCTGTGAGTTCCAGGCCAGCCTGGTCTACAGAGTGAGTTCCAGGCCAGCCTCCAAAGCAATACAGAGAACCCCTGTCTCAAAAAGACCAAAAAAAAAAAAAAAAGGCTTGTAAACTTTGACAGCAGCTTGTCTGATCTGATTGGGCTATTTATTTTTACTTTATTCTATGTCTATATATGATGTGTGTGTCGAACATGCACACATATACAGAAGTACACACATGCCAAGGCACGTGTGTGGAGGTCAGGGGTCAACTTTCAGGAGTCAATTCTTACCTTGCACCCTGGGATCCAGGATCAAACTTAGGCAGCCAGGACTTCTACTTGCTGAGTCATCTGACCACCCCCAAGTAGGACTATCTCAATGTACCCACTAGCTGATAAACACCCTGAAATGGTCTAGTGCCAACTCTTATTATTAAAAGCATTTATAAGATTCCTAAGTATAAAAACTGGTTGTGGTGGTACACCTGTGGTCCCGGCACTTGGGAAGTAGAGCAAGAGTTCAAGAGTATCCTCAACTACATGGTGAGATGGAGGCCAGACTAGACTACTCGGGGTCTGTCTTGCAAAAACCAGAGGGAAAGGCCCAAAAGCACATTCTGTTCTCAGTGTGATGGTTCATGGTGTCATCAGCTTCAGAACTTTGGGGCCACCTTTCCAGGCCCAGAAGGAATCAGAAAGTGAACACTGTACCCAGAAGCCAGTCAAATCCAGAGTTCAAATCCTGGTTTTGCCCCTGACTTATAAGAGACCTCGGGTAAGCCAGCTACTTCACTTTTCTTGGCTCCAGCTTCCTCTATAAATATTAACCAGTAAACAGGCATATGCTGAACAGCATGTGTCTGACACTGGCCAGCTGGATCTGTGTGTCCTTAAGGAGCTTATCTTCAACAGGAAGACACAAACAACCCAGGTAAGTTCATGTCTGCGTGAATGCTATTAGCACATAGACCACAGCGGGGAAAGACCTGGGAGGGCAGAGGAGGACCCTGTGGGAAGGCAGTATTCATGGTAGAACCCATAATAAAATGTCCGTGACACAGGGGTCTGAGGACACACTATGACAAGAAGTGGGGAAAGATGAGCAGGAGGTAAGGCAGGAACAATCTCGGCAAGTCTGAAGAGGACTAAGGAGGTTAGAGAGCGGGGCTGGAGAGACAGACAGGCCCATCTCTGCAAGCAGGATAGTGGTTGTCATGGGAAATGACTATAGAAAAAAAGAAGAAAAAACCTGACTGGCTGTTATTTTCAAATCTCCATTTTAGAAGAAGTCTAAACAAGTAAGTAAAACTGAAAGACAGAGCTGAATAAAAATGGTTTTGCTCTGACAGCTGACACAGAACTGAGTAAGATGGTTTTGCTCTGACCTGTTGGGAAGGAAAGTCTCTGCCTTCTTGGCCTTCCCAACTCACTCCAGGGTACTTCCACTTCAGAGGAGCTGGAACAGCAGGTGGCCTGTCTCTAAGAGTTCCTCAAACTCTTACAAAGCCCAGATCAGTCTGTGGGAGACAGACTTACTGGTAGGGCGTATACACTGAGCCCTAAGCTCAATCCCTAGTACCACAAAGAGAATTAACAGTGACAATGCCCTCCAGTCTATAGAACACACCCGTTAGCTGCCTCACAATAGCTTCTAGAAAGAACAACCAACACACATACACAGCTCTGCCACTCACAGGCCCACAAGGCTGCCTCCTAAGAGGAAAATCTGAAGTGACCATAAGGAAAAGAAATAACAAGCTGCACGGTACTATATTGCATAACCTCATAACCTAAGTTCAAGCGCACAGTCCACCTAGGGCTGCACTAGGTACGGGTTATCTCCACAGGTAAACAGGAATAATGCCCCCTCCTTGACCAGTCAGCACCGGGATACACACACACACACACACACACACACACACACACACACACACACACACACACACGACACAGGCCAAGAGCTTTCCAAAAGGGAAACATGTTCCTTCTGCTTCTATTTTCACATTGCACTTTGTTGACTGCTGGCATTATCAGAGGGTACAAACCTGACCATGAACACACTCCACCCATGTCAGCCCTTCCCTGGCCACCTGCTCCAAAGGGATGGTCCAGAATGGCTAAAGAGCCTTCCTGCACCTGGCCCTTTCCCACCTCACAGAAACCAAAATATACCAACACCCAAGACTACTTAAAACCTTGCAGGCAAATCTCTACAGGCACAGTGGTCATAAGAATGATTGACTTGCTTTTTTTCTACACGATGGGACAAGAGAGAGGCAACACCCAGAAATTATCCCAACTTTATAGAAACAAAGAGCTAAGTATCCCAGCCAAGGGCAACAGAGGGCAGGCCTACAGTCACCCAAATAAACAAAGCCACGGGAGCAACTGGGTGAAGAGAATCCCATCCCCGGGCTTCACTTCCTGAAAACACGGGGCAACCCCCACCCAGTACTATTTAACGCTGGGCTTGAAGATCCTTGTGAAGTTGAAACCAAGAAAAATGGCAAAGGACTTCTGTCGGGTGCAAGCCGGGAAAGCTACTGAGGGAAAGTTACTGTAAGCAAGAACAATGCTGTGTCCTGTCCAGGATGCTACTGTTAGGGAGGGCAGACACCTAGGTTAAGAAACTGATTTCATTCATCGCAAATATTATTTATCAAATCATTGCCAGGACATTGTGGCAACCACATCCTGCTGTTTCTGCTGGGGTCACTGCCAAAGTTTGGTTCTCTCCCCCACCTTCCGGTATCTGTAAAGTTTTCGGTTTCTATCAAACCCCAGCTGGGGAGGCCCCCACCCCCACCCCACGCTGGCCCTGGTGGAGTCGAGTTCCACCACCAGGTCCAGAAAAGAGACTGCAAGGAGGCGTGGCCAAGGGGGAAATTCTGACAAAAACTTTTGGCCCTCCGGTCCTAGCGGCCACTACTTCCTGGTCCCTCCTGGTCACGGGGATGTCGTTATCTGGCTGAGTGCTCCCCAGAGGGCCGCGCAGGGAAGGGTCTGTCCCGGCATGCGCGGCGCTCACGGACCGGCCCGCAGGTTGCCCTCCACCGCAAGTTATTTCGGAGTAGTCCCCCACGCCGTGAGCAGGGCAGGGGGGCTTCCTCCTCCACGCTCTGGACGCCTACTGTCACCACTCCCTGAGTGCTTTCGGTGCTTTCGGACCCGGACCCAGTGCGAATGGACATCAAGGCCCAGGCCCGTTTCAGAAGGGGAAACTGAAGGACTGGCCAGGAACCACCCGCCGGGAGCAAAGCAGCGAGCGGGCCGCGCCGCCTCCCACCTTGACCCGCTTGCCCTGGATCTCCAGCGTCTTCATGGTGAAGTCGACGCCGATGGTGCTGCCCTGACGCGCGGAGAAGACGCCGGTCTTGAAGCGCTGCACCACGCACGTCTTGCCCACGCTCGCGTCGCCCACCAACACCAGCTTGAACAGGAAATCGTAGTGCTCGTCCTGATCCCCCGGGCCCGGGCCCGCCATGGCTCCGTGGGAGACCTGGGACGCAGGGGCCCGACTTGGGCTTACGACAGCAACGGGCCGAGGTCGGTGCGCCCCAGCCGGCCGGCCGCCTGACTACGTGGAGCCTCCGCAGCACCTGAACCAGCGGCGCGGACCGATCGACGGCCCCGCCCCGCCCCGGAGCCCCGCGGACTCGGCTCCGCCCGGGAGCGCAGCGCCCGGCCCTCCGCAGAGCGCTGCCAGCCGTCGGTGCTGCGCCGGCCCAGGGCTACCTCAGGCCCGCTCGTGCGCCGCCTTCAGGGCGGGGCGAGCCTCCCTGCTTCCCCAGCACCGCCCATCTCCGGCCGCTGGGAGTCTGGGTCCCGCCCCCGGCACCGCCCAGATGCCCCCTCCGGTAGCCTACGCCTCCTATCCTGTCAGTACAGCCCCGACCCTCCCTCAGCACCACCCTTCCTAAGCGTCTCACCTCCCCGGCCCTTCCCCGAGCAGCACCCGCACCCCACCACGGCCAACGCCCCCACCCTTCTCTCAACATCACCCTGATCCCGCCCTCAGCACAGTTCTTTCCCACTTCTCAGCCACTCAGTAACCCGGGCGTAAGAATCGTGCGGACCGGCTGTCAACATCTCCCTGATCCTCCTCCACTTGGTCCTGACCACGCCCTTAGCACCTCTTACCCCACCTTAGTTGGTGATCCGGAACCCGCCTTAACTTGGACCTCGCCTTAGGCACCGCATCCAAGACGGAAATCTGCCCACACCTCTTCATAGCCCTCAAATAACTCCTCTCTAATTCCTCTCATAGCAGCTCTCGGTCCCACCTCAGTCTGCTGCGTCCCCCTCACAGCCTTTGGCCCCATAACTGCCCGCTAACCTGCCCACTTCAGCCCAGACAACCACCCCGCACTGGCCTGGCTCGCACCAAGTCAGGAGCAGGCGAGAGGCCTCGATACGGTAGTTCTGGGGCAGCGGACAGCCACGAGTGACAATGAAGAGCTGGTGAAACAGAACCCACCTCAGTGCTCCCACTTCTGAGATGTGAAAGCCCTGTACACGCAGCAAAGGCAGCTTCCGTTAGGTCAAAAATGAAGACAAAGCCGGGCGGAGATGGTGCACACCTTTAATCCCAGCACTTGGGAGCCAGGGGCAGGTGGATCTCTGTGAGTTCGAGGCCAGCCTGGTCTACAGAGCGAGTTCCAGGACAGCCTCCAAAGCAATACAGAGAAACCTTTTCTCGAAAAGAAAAAAAAAAAATGAAGACAAGAGGAAGTGAAAACCCTTGAAGGTATTGAAGGTAGAATGACCCAGAGTCCCATTTGGAAGAATGATAGGCTAGAGAGTCCAGCCAAATCTGGACTACCTGGGAATACAGTCCAGATCCCAATAAAACAGAAGAGGTACAAGGAAAACGTGTGAGCCAATCAGCTCCTAAGTTTGGCCTGGGAAACCAGAGGTCAAAGAAACGGACCCAGATTTCTGCAAGCAGTTTGAACTAGATCAAATAGGCTTCCTCACCAAAGATGAGAGGAAGCTGAGAGTGTCCAAGCCTCTTTAGACAACCCTTTACACCTTCCAATGCTATGTAGTTCAATAGACTTCATTAATGGCTGGGGCAGGCCCACGAACTGTTCTACTGCCCTGAGATCCATCCATGAACAAAATCCAAACCTTCTCCAGTAGGGAAGGGAAGAGGACCTCCCAAAACTTAAGGAGACCATAAGAGCAAGCCCATAGGTGCCAACCCCGCAGGCTCTATGACCAGTGTCCCTGGTCAAGTAGATGAAAAGGCAAAGGCTGACCCTGGAGAAAGCAGAGGAGCTGTTTGTTCTGAGAACTCCATCCGTGAGAAATGCCCTCAAAGTCAGAGATCCACCTGCCTCTGCCTCCTCAGTGCTGGGACCAAAGGTGGCGCCACCACTGCCCTGCTGACACTGGAAAATAATAGGGAGAACAACAGAGGGCACCCAACATCAACCTCTGGCCTCTCCATGTGAACGCACACGCAGGCAGAGGCACCCCCACCACATACACACACATGCATATACCACACACCAAAGAAAAGAGAAAACACTAAAATGTACACTTTCAAGGAGAATGTTCCTTCTCTGGCCTCTATATATGAATGCATACACAGGCACCCCTCACCACATACACACATGCATATACCACACACCAAAAAAAAAACCCACTGAAATGTACACTTTCAAGGAGAATGTTCCTTTTTGTTGTTGTTCGTTTTTCGAGACAGGGTTTCTCTGTGTAGCTTTGGAGCCCATCCTGGAATTCATTCTGTAGACCAGGCTGAAATCAAAGACATCTGCCTGCCTCTACCTCCCAAGTGCTGGGATTTAAGGAGTGTGTTGGGAGGGGAGAGTAAATCACATCTTACCAAATCTGCAATTCCTTTCCTTTGACAGTAAATTTTTTTAAAGTACAGTGACATAGTTTTTAAATGCATTATACTCATCTGAGATGGGACAATTCAACATTACACTCAATAAACTACTTTTCCTATAAAAATATTAAGTCCTATTGCAAATTTTGAAGTAAAGCATATCTCAAATTTAAGTAAGCCAAAGATTTAACGATTTTATTTATTTCTGTGTAGGTCTGGATGCCACATGTGTGCAGTTGCTTGCAGTGGCCAGAAGAGGGCATCAGATACCACAGAAGTAGCCATAAGTGACTCTGAACTGAGAACCAGAGATACTCTGCAAGAGTTACTCAATGGCTCTTAACCAATGAGACAGGCATTTCTCAAGTCCTACACTGAACCTTTTATATATATATATATGATTTATTTATTTAGCCGGGCAGTGGTGATGCACACCTTTAATCCCAGCACTGGGGAGGCAGAAGCAGGTAGATCTTTGAGTTCAAGGGTAGCCTGGTCTTTAGGGTACCAGGACAGCCAGGCCCACACAGAGAAACCCTGTCTCCAAAAAAAGAAAGAAATATAAAAACCTAATTTACAAGGGTGGGCGAGATGGATAAATGGGTAAAGACACTGACTTCTAATATAAGGTCTTGAGTTCAATCCCCTGTCCTCACATGGTGGAATAAAATAGACGGCTGGAAGTTGTCCTCTGACCTCTACGCATGCTCCATGGTGCCCTCCCCCATCCCACATGTACAAATAACTTTTTTTTTTTTTTTTTTGGTTTTTCAAGACAAGGTTTCTCTGTATTGTTTTGGAGCCTGTCCTGGAACTCACCCTGTAGACCAGGCTGGCCTCGAACTCACAGAGATCCCTCTGCCTCTGCCTCCTGAGTGCTGGGATTAAAGGTATGCGCCACCAACGCCGGCCCAAATAAGTACTTTTTAAAGAGATTTCTTTATCCTTTATGTTTATGTCTGTGTGCTTGCCTGAGTTTATATACACCATGTAGTGTGCAGGGGTCCAAGGAGGACAGAAGGTGTCAAAGGCCCCAGAGCTGGAGTTACAGGTGGTTATGAGCCGCTGCCCTATGTGGGCGCTGGGAACTAAACCCAGGTCCTCTGCAATAACAACACTGAGCCATCTTTCCAGGCCCCTGGATTTAAAGCAACTTAGTGGTTGGTGTTAACAGTCACTGTCACATGGTGACATCATCTTAGCTGACTTATAGCAGATATCCCATAACCACCATTCTGCGTGTCTCAGAGCTCCCCCGCCCCACCCCCAGGAGCTAAAAAACATCGTGCCCTCTCCCTTTCTTCCCTCACTTCTGCATCTTCTTCCTCTCTAAACTCATCTTACAATATATATGCCACACACAACAACCCCTAACCTCCCTTGGGTGTCACCAAAGCTAACCCAGAAAATAAGCCCCCGTCAAAATGAGATGTGGAAAAAAACTAATGCAAAAATGACCAAATACCAACCACAACAGCCTATGTCCTTAACATAGGAGTCAACAGCACAGCCACTGTTTGACTCGCCTCCAACAAGGCCATGTACAGCAACATAGCTCTGCCATCCTCCATGATACTGCTCCCACAGACAAACTCTCCCTAGCCTCTGAACAGACCACAATCTTTCCATGGAATAAGCTTCTCCAAACCAAGGGCCATTATTCCCTCAGGGGGTTGGCTCCCTGTCACTTACTATGACCCTGGCCTTCCAGATGCTCCCACCACCCTCAGAACAGGAGGCCTGCGGCTCACACTGCTCAGGCTTAGAGAGCTGAGAGGCTCCAGCTAGGTAGCAAAGAGACGGTTGCTTAGGGTGTACAGTGTGTACCCACAAAGGCCAGCACACAGCCATCCTTAGCCGCAAATATAAGCAGGCTATATGCTCATGCCAGGTGAAGCTTTGGCATCTGTACCCTTCCTGGGACCACCACCCATTCTACCGAACCCCACCCCACCCCCACCCCCGCACCGGCCCCTACAGTGTTCAGTGCCTTCCATGGCTGACATCATATCACCACAGGACAAGGTTCAGGCACAGACGTTCCCTTTCTTATTAAAAATTTTAATAAAAGCAGCTTTCTCTGAACAAGTTATAAAAGTAAAGTTGCAAACTTAGAATTCCTGTCCACAAGACAGGAGAGGGAGAAGCAGGTTCACACAGAGGGGACCATGACAAAGTACAGCAGGGTCCAGCACGAGGGGATGGCTCTGCTACTGACAGGCACAACCCAGCTCAGGGTAGACACACCATCTCAGTTTCCCAGAGGAGACATGTCTCTGAATCTGAATACGATATGCATAAAAATCATTCGTTTTTTAATGTTGGCTACTAATCCTTCTCTCTTCCCAACATCATAGTACAAGGCAGAATAAATCTTCAGACAGAGTTGATTTTACACATTCCAAAATAAAAATGAATGAATCCGTATGGTAGCAAAGGTATCTGTAAAAGGTGGTGGTTAGTCTTCGGTACCCTGACAGCTTCCTGGGAAGTCAGGGCAGGCCTCACCATCAGGCCAGCTCAGCTCTCCAGAAAAGGCGGGGGACAAGATGGAGGACGAGAAAGGCACAGGGCCTCCCAGCACTAGCCAGCCTCGCTCAGCCCAGGGTAGCCATGAGGATGGCAGGCCTCGGGGCTCACACCACCAGGTCAGGAAGGGGTCTGGCTCATCCTAGTACCCCAAGAGCCGCTTGGCTTCCTCACTCTGTGCCTGCAGGGTCTCACTGGCATATTTCTGGAGCAGTTCCATTTTCTTCCTCCGCACAAGCGCCTCCTCGATCTGTGAACACCCACAGTGAAGAAGTCAGCCCTTGGCAAGGCCTCCACCTCTATCACAACCCAAGCAGGGAATGCCTGCAGGGA